CGGGGCGGGGCTGGCAATGCCCCAGGCATCTGTTCTGGTCCCAGCCCGCCCAGCAGCCGGTCCTGCTCAGGGACACACAGGCCTCCCCCCAGGCTCTCTGCTGGTCAGGAGAGGTAGCCAGGCTCTCGGGGGCATTCCAAGGAGTGGGGGCAGTTGTGGGGCGGGGGGAGGAGCAGGACTCAGGACCCAGAACAAAACTGTGGAGCTTACTTACCTTGGTCTAGACCAGCGGTTCTCAACCTGTGGGTCGCGACAGCTTTGGCGGTCGAACGACCCTTTCACAGGGGTCGCCTAAGACCATCCTGCATATCAGATATTTACATTACGATTCATAACAGTAGCAACATGACAGTTATGAAGTAGCAACGGAAATAATTTTATGGTTGGGTCCCAACATGAGGAACTGTATTTAAAGGGCCAGAAGGTTGAGAAACACTGGTCTAGACTCCTTTGGTTAATAAAGAAAAGAAAAGAAAGGAAAAGAAAAGAAAAGAAAAGAAAGGAAAAGAAAAGAAAAGAAAAGAAAAGAAAAGAAAAGAAAAGAAAAGAAAAGAAAAGAAAAAAGAAATCCCCAGGAAGCCAGGTGTCACACATAGGATACCAAACACATTATAAAGTGTGTCAGCCATTGAGTGACTGTGCCCTGGAAAGAAAAGAGAAAGTAGAGGCAGGGAAGGGGGGTGGGGACCGGCTGCAGAACTGAGGAAGGTGCTTAGGGTGGGTCTTATCAGGGAAGGAGGGATGTGAGCAAACTTGACAAGGAGGTGTCAACCCAGTGGGTGCCTGGGGGACCAGAGCCCCAGGCAGAGCCATCGGCCAGAGCCCAGAGCCGAGGCCCAGAGCGAGGCGGGCGGGGGGGGGGGGGGGGGGGTGGATGGCCATGTGACTGGCTGACTGAGTGAGGTGGGGAAGGAGTGAGAGAGGAGCTCGGAGGGAACCAGATGGGGACCAGATGGGACAGGGCCATGAGCCGTTGTCCAAACTTTGGCTTTTACTGAGTAAGATGGGAGCCACTGCAGAGTTTGACGCAGAGGAGAGCCGTGACTTGACTGATGTTTTGTTTAAGCAAAAAAGGAAACTCCTAGGTTCCGGTGAGTCAGAGGATGGAGCCTCATTGTCTCCTCCAGAGCACGGCCTCCTCCGTGGGAGGAGGGGAAAGGGCTGCACACAGCTTCGGCCGACACTGCCCAGGGCCCGGTCCTGGAGCCAGAGGGGTCCATCAGTGCCAGAATAGAACCTCCCAGGGAAGGCCTCTGATTGGCTGTCCTTGGACGAATCATTGTAATGGGCTGGGCTGGGTCACATGGCTACCCCATCCTAAGAAAATGGAGAGCACCCATTGGCTGCCCCACCAGATCACAGGCAATAGGAGTACAAGTCCTGAAAGGAAGGGTGTGATTCCCCAAAGGAAGGAAGGAGAGAGAGGTGAGCTGGGAGACAAAAACAACAGTCCTTCATGGAATGGCTCGTCCGGAGGGGGTCCAGGAGTCCCACCTGGTGGGCTTCTGCCCGGGAGCCATCAGGAAGAGCTCACCCATCCACGGTCGCCTCTTCCGTAGACCACGTTTCCCAAACACCGCTTCCCGCAGGAGGGATGCTGCTGTGTGCTGACCACGAGACTGATCTGACCTAAAAGTCACTCCAAGGACTTTCTTGTGTTTGGTTTCTTTAATCACTGCGTTTCCCCATCCTTGGCTGGAGAAAGCCCCAGCGATATTCATTGAGGTCAGGAGCCAGCGGGCCGAGGGGGGCCACTTCCTCCCCTCTCCCAGCCTCCTCTGAAGTCAGACAATTACCGCCCAAGGCCCGGGTCTCCAGCCTCCGGAAATGCTAGGGACGGGGAGTGAGGGGCGGCTGCCTGGGCTTCAGATACTGCAGCTCCCGCTGCTCAGAGATGCACAGTTATGACTGCAGAACTTTTGTGGACTTTTAAAAGATATACAGTAAACACTCACACACACACACACACACACACACACAAGAGATGCGAATATACGTAAAGTAACGATTGAAGATAGAGCTGGGAGAATTTTACACATATCCCTACCTGTGTAACCTTGACCCAGGCCAAGACAGAAAGCTTTTCCCACCGCAGGGCCTCCTGCAGGAGACCCCCACACCCCCTTTAGGCTCCCTCACCCTCAGGCCAGGGGCACTGATCCCATTTCAAAGGCAAAGAATGTTAGGAGCTCCAGGAAAAGTAACACCCCATCATCTCCACCAGAAACAACAGGGCCCCTCCCCTGCAGGGCAGGCGGGCGGAGGGCTAGGGAAATTCCTGGCCAAAGATCAGAGAAGGGTCTGTCCTCCTTGCCAGGCCCTGGCTTCCAGGGCTGAGCTCAGCAGGCGATGAGGCGGAGATCCCTGCGTGGAGTCGGAGCATCAGTCAGAAGGGCTGCCCAGAGGCCCTCTGATTTCGGCTTGAGCACGCACGCCTCCTAGTCGAAGGAGGGATCCCCACCCAGGGTCCCCTCTGGGGCTGCCTCTGGTCCACCATTCTGGGGGTGGCACGGCCCCCAGCCCCTATAACTGAGCTTTTTATTAAATATCTTTATTGATTTCAGAGAGGAAGGTAGAGGAAGAGAGAAAGAAACATCAATGATGAGAGAGAATCATTGATCGGCTGCCTCCTGCACGCCCCACACAGGGGATCAAGCCCGCAACCCGGCCTGTGCCCTGACCGGGAATCGAGCCATGACCTTCTGGTTCATAGATTGAAGCTCAACCACTGAGCCACGCCAGCCGGACCTTAACAGCTTTTAGACCTGGAAGACAGCCTCCTCTGGCAGTTCCCCCGAGGTGGGGTGGGGGTCAGGGCGGCCGGGGTCCTGTGTCCTCAGAAACATCCCAGGAGCAAGCCTGCAAGTCCCAGCCACTCAGTCAGAGGGAAACGGACCCAGGACTTCCCGTGCTTTTATGTCCCGTCCCTGGCGTGACCTCGCATTCTCTCTGGGAGCCGGACAGCCCTGCCTGGCAGCCCCATCTTTTGACCAGAGAAAGGAGGGTGTGGCACGTTGGAAATGGTCAGGAATGTCCCTCCCTCCCCGCCCCACAGCCCACTGTCCCCAGCAGCAGGGCAGGGGGTTCTGAGCGCCTCCTGGCAGACCTTCGAGGTAGGAATTATTATCCCCATTCTGAGGAAACTGAGGCTCATGCTGATGGAGGGCCTAGGACATGCCGGGCGTGTGTGTGTGTGTGTGTGTGTGTGTGTGAATCCTCACCCGAGGATACTTTTCCATTAATTTTTGGAGAGAGTGGAAGGGACAGGGAGAGACAGAGAGAAACATCGATGTGAGAGAGACACATTGATTGCTCGCCTTCCACACATGCCCCGACCAGGGCTGGGGATCAAGCCTGCAACCCAGGTACCTGCCTTGGACCCAAATCGAACCTGGGACCCTTCAGTCCGAGGGCTGACGCTCTGTCCACTGAGCCAAACTGGCCAGGGCCACAGACATGACTTTCGTTAGTTCTCTCAATGCTGTGGGGATGACCGCCTGCCAGCTGGGTTGTACAGGTGAGAAAACAGGTTCAGAGAGGGAAACTGCTCGCCTGCTGCCCACGGCTGCCACGGAAGGCCGGCCCGGGATGCCAGGCCCGCGGAGTCTGGCTCCAGAGCACGTGGCCTGCGTTTTTTGCCCTCTGACCAGCCCAGTGCTTGGGGCCCAGGCCAGACCCTCCCTGCTGTCGCCTGAGGCAGACTCAAGGTGGAGCAGGCACCAGGTTTTCCTCTTCCCCACTTCCCCGGGGCACCCCTGGCAAAGCAAGCAGTGGTGCAAAACAGCAGGGACAAGATCCCCACCTTTGCAGCGGTCCGCCCCGAGCCTGGGGAAGGGGCCAAGGGGGGCCAAGATGCTTTCTATGGAAGAGCTGTGGCTCTCCGCGGAAGTTCCTGTAATGAGCAATCGAGCTGTTAGCTTGGGAGTCTCTTGGGAAACTAAAGTGATGGTCAGAGACATGGACGTGTGTGCATCTCCTGTGGCTGCTGTATGTGCCTGGCCAGCACAGCCAAGGGTTCAGTGAGCCTGGTGGGGAGGGGGCAGCGAAGAATTAAAGAAAAGACAGACACAGAGAATAAGCTGGGTCTAGGTGGATCTCCTGTGCCTGGCTGAGGCCACAGAGAGAGACCTAGAGGGCAAGCTGAGCCTTTATTCTATAGACAGAGGTAAACAAGGTAGTGGTCACCATAGTTACAATGTTCTTGTGAGTTTCACTTGTTTTGGCAGCACTTGCTGCACTTCCTGTAGCCCATTAGCTACCCAGATAGGATCTAGGGAGCGTCATAAGGTCAAGCTTAATTATGCTAAGAGGGCTGTGCCCTCTAAGCTGGGACTTGTTTGTGGCTTTGCCAACAGGTCAGTCCGAGGCTTAACCCTATAGACGCTCCCTACATCTCAGCCTTCTTTTATTTTTAAGCTACTATATTGAAAGTAAAACTTAAACATCAAGAACAAAACTCTGGCTATTAACAAAACAATGCCAATGCAACATAGCAATAAGAGAGAAATCAAACTACAGCAACATTTTTCTACTAAATGAAAGTTTCTTTTGCTGATTTACTCAGAGTCCTCGTACTTGGCTGTGCAAGACTGGCAGCTGACCAATGCTAACATAGCCAGAATCATGGTTGAGGGAGTAGCTTCCACTTCTTGCTTTTCTACCATCTGCTGGGCCTCAATTGTTAACTTCTTCAGCTGACCCCATGTTGGCACCTTGGTCCCTTGCCCAGCCTTCATCATCTTCCTTTTCCGCATTGCTGTCATCAGAGCAACTCTCAGTCTTTGGAACGACGGGACAAGGAGCTTCTCTGGGTCCATTGTGGTGACACACGTAACACTCTGGTACCCAAATTGGCTGCACTGCTCCTTCTGGAAAGATACGAAACACAACCTTTTCCCCACATTATTACTGAATCTGGTAAAACTCTTTCTTTAAAAAAATATATTTTATTGATTTCTTACAGAGAGGAAGGGAGAGAGATAGAGAGCTAGGAACATCGATGAGAGAGAAACATCGATCAGCTGCCTCCTGCACACCCCCTACGGGGGTTGCACCCACAACCAAGGTACATGCCCTTGACTGGAATCGAACCTGAGACCCTTCAGTCCGCAGGCCGACACTCTACCCACTGAGCCAAACCAGTCAGGGCTAATCTGGTAAAACTCTTATCTGGTTTGTGCATCCTTCCACTGGGCTAAGTCGGCAGAGGCTATTGTACAGGAGGCCCGATGCCTTTCGGCTGCTGTACAACTCTCTGCATTGTAATTCAGAAAATTTAACACATAACGTTCTTCTCCCCCTTTTTTGTTTTTGTAGTTGCATTTTAAGAGTAGGATTGGTGCTTTCTGCTATTGCCTGAGTCCTGATCTATCACCCCAGGGAGAACTTGCCAATCCTGCGCTTCCCAGGGTGGTATGATGAAGGTTTACTGAGCCAGCTGGAAAGGCTGCAGTGGGGTCCAGGATAAGGCCCCTACTGTTTGGTGGGGCCGGGGCTGGCCCCGCTTGAAGTTTCCCTGCCTAGGGGGCACTGGATTATCATCAACATCAGTCTTGGAGCGGCATTCATTTGCCCAATGCTTTCCTCTCCTGCATCTTGGACATAGTCCAGGCTGCTTGTTTCCACTCCCTGTAGCCTGTTGACTTCCATTCTTAGCATTACAGTCTTGAGCAAAATGCCCTAGTTTGCCACAGTTAAAGCAGCCCCCTTTCTTTTCTGCTGACCAGCGAGTAACGTCTCCTTTAATGAGGCAGCTAATACTGCTCCTTGAACATAGGCTGGTCCAATGTCAGCAGAAACACGAATAAAATACTTCCATAATAAGTAGTCTCCAGGTGAGAGACAAGCCTTTGCGACAATATTAAGCCTCTGGTAACCTTCCACTCTCCGTCTCAGTTCCCCTGCCACGTTCATCCACTCCCTTTCGGGAGTGGGCTCTAGGCAGTCCCGAATCAGGGACCACAGACTGAAAGTAGAGAGAGGAATTCTCCCTGGATTTTCAGCTATATAACCATCTCTAAGTTGTTTTCCTACCTTCTCCTATGCCTCTACATTTACCTTTCCTTCCTCAGGAAACCGTAGGCAGATTTTACTTACAAAATCCAACAAATCTAAAAGCTGTTGAAACCTCACAGAACAGCCACGAGCTTGGAGCCTAGCCTTAAGCATAGATATGAATAAATTATTTTCCTGCGATCCTGAATTTCCCATGTTTTACACCTAGTTATTACTAAACTTCGCTCCTTACCTTCCTTTTTACTTTCTGCATGTGCTTCACTGGAGCGTCCTTTCACCTGACAACTGCAGTTCCCCCAAACTCAGGCCCCACGTTGGGCGCCACATGTGCCAAGCCAGCACAGTCAAGGGTTTGGTGAGCCTGAGGGGGGGGTGGGGGGCGGGGCGGCAAAGGATTAAAGAAAAGACAGACACAGAGAATAAGCTGGGTCTAGGTGGATCTCCTGTGCCTGGCTGAGGCCACAGAGAGAGACCCAGAGGGCAAGCTGAGCCTTTATTCTATAGACAGAGGTAAACAAGGTAGTGGTCACCATAGTTACAATGTTCTTGTGAGTTTCACTTGTTTTGGCAGCACTTGCTGCACTTCCTGCAGCCCATTAGCTACCCAGATAGGATCTAGGGAGCGTCATAAGGTCAAGCTTAATTATGCTAAGAGGGCTGTGCCCTCCAAGCTGGGACTTGTTTGTGGCTTTGCCAACAGGTCAGTCCGAGGCTTAACCCTATAGCCGCTCCCTATAGCTGTAGCCAGTGACCACAAACTTGGTGGCTTAAAGCAACACAAATTTGCTATCTGGAGGTCAGTTCTGGAGGCTGGAAGTCCAAAATCAATGTTGGTGGCTGAAGTCAAGGTGTCCACAGGCCGATTCCTCCTGGGAGCCCTGGGAAGCCTTGGTTTCCCAGTCCCTCAGCTGCCGGAGGAGCCTGCAGGCTCTGGCCCCCCTGCTTCCTCTGTGGCTGGAGGTCCGCCCCCTCTCTGGCCTCCCCTCCTGTCTTTCCTCCCTCTAATGTGTCTCCACAGGACATCCAAACCTGTAGAGAGTTTTTGTAGGTTGATTTGAGCCAAACTGTTGACACCTGCCAGGGAACAAGATCTCCAGTGCTCTCGGGAGAATAACAGTTCTGCTGCTGCTTTGATGCATTTGAAATTAAGCAGAAACGTAAGGAAGGTGAAATGAAGGTGGAAGAAAGCCAGGTGGGGATCTGATCAGAGGAGAGTTAACGAGGGTAGGTGCTCCCTGTTTATCTCTAAGGCATGGACAGGGCTTGCTTGAGGCAAAAGAAATCTTTTACTAAAAGGTTACATGCCCGGGGTGTGACCTGCCCCGTTGGGGAGTTAGGATCAGATCACCCTGTGAGGTTACTTTCCATAGAACACCCCCTCCCTTTTTTTGTTTGTTTGCAAATTCTACTGCTGCTCTAGTAAGAGGACCTTTAAGTTGGATTCATCCAAATCTAGGGTCATCTCTGAATCACAATATTTTTACCTAACCCCATCTGCGAAGTCCCTTTTGCCACATACGGTAACATAGTCACAGGCTCGGGGGACTAGGACATGAACATCTTGGGGGGGGGGGCATTTTTTCAGCCTCCCACAAATAGCAAAGTCCCACTGACGACGTAGGGGTGGCTGAGGCTCAGGTGTGCAGGTTGAGTCGGAGGCAGATGGCTCAGTGCTCTTGCCCACCCTCTGCCCTGATTCTCAGGGAGGTGAGCACAGGGCAGCGGCCACCTGTGGGGGTCCTGCCCGGTGCCCCACTTTGCCGCACAGACCCATTGGACGGATAAAGAGAAAGCCCCAGGCCCCAAATGGCATCGCTCGTGCTGAAAAGCCCATGATGCCAAACCTGTATTTAATACCAATCTCAGCGCAGTGTCGGCCTCTCCCAGGACCTGGTCACCTTGGTGACCAGGCTGGAGTTGGCTGGTCACGCCCCAGCACAGCCATCTGTCCCGGGGGCCCTCTCTACTCTCCTCACCCCCATGGACCGAAGAGGCAGGTCTGCCCGACAAAAGCCTTCCTCCTCGCTTCCCCCAAAGAAGGGATGTCCCGCCTCAAAGCCATCCTTTCATTTCTTTCACACTTAGCTCCCTTGCCCGTCCCCCCGCCCTTCCTCATATAAACACCCTGGATTTTGTACAGCCCCTTCCCCCTGTTCCGCGGGAGGCTGCCCGATTCAGGAGTCCCTCCATAAAGCCAACTTGATCTCCAAGCTAATTCGGTTGATTTTCTTTTCTTTTTCTTTCTTTCTTTCTTTCCTTTTTTTTTTTTTTTTTTTAACAGGAAACAGATTTGAAAGGGAGGGGGGATTTGGGAGGGGGCGTGGACCCCCCCCCCCCCCAGGCTCCCGGCTCTCCTTGAACCTGGGTCAGAAGTTCTGCCCCTGGGAGGGCGGTGCTGCGTGCCGACTGGTCCCCTCGCCCCGCCCGCCTCCTCCCGGCTCTGGGCTCAG